GGTACCGGACTGCGGAGATGGCGGACGCAATGCTGGGCAGCGGGCTCCCCGCGCAGCAGGCCGTGGTGCTCTCGGTGGTGCCGGGGGAGGTGCGGGCCGGCCAGGCCGTCGCCAAGGGGGCTTGTGATGGAGGCGATGAGTGCGGCGTAGGGAGCGGCCCTGCGGCCCCCCTCGGCCAGGCGGGCAGCCAGGGCCGGGAGCAGGCCGCGCTGGAGACGGTGCTGCCCGCGCCCACCGAGGAGTCGAATAGCACCGACAGCGCCAAAGCTCCCAAAGTGAACTGCGAGGAGAGAAACGCGACTGGCATCGACCGCTTCACGCTGCAGATCCTGAACGTGTCTCAAGTAAGCGGATCGCCCGCCTGCACTGCTTGGTGGTGATCTGAACGCGTGAGGGTGGTGGCAGATCCCCCATCAGCACCATGTGTGTGTTTCTGTCAGCGTTTGACTTGGTGAATTTCCTTGTGAAAAATCCTCTGAAAAGAGAGAATGAAAAAGAGAAACTTGTCTGGGCAAGGAGGTGTTTTGTGTAATTCTGAGCAGAAAAAAAGGGAGATATAGCTCAGTCCACATGCCTGGGTCTCTCATCCATGTGCCTGTAGTGAACTGTCATCTTTTATGCTGCGTGGAATTAGTGTCTCTCTCTGAAACCATTAATGGCACTTATTGCCAGTGCCTGTTTCTAGTTTGTTTCTTCTAATGGTTATGTATGTCTATACTTTTAAGTAGTAAACTTTTCAAACAGCCTTCAGAAGATTAAATACAATTCCCCGTGTGTTTTAAGAAGATTAAAAAGATGTACAGCTGCTTGAAATATTGTCAAGTGTCTAATCGATTCCTGAATGATGCATTCCTGTGTAGAAATTAACTCTTGTTAAATGTGTAATCATCCATGTTTGTCTTCTGCTTTTTCTAAGGACCTGATGGAATTCTTAAACCCAAATAGTAGTGACTGTACGTTAGTCTTGTTCTACACACCGTGGTGCCGCTTTTCTGCCAGTCTGGCACCTCATTTTAACTCTTTACCTCGAGCGTTTCCAACCCTTCGCTTCCTGGCACTGGATGCATCTCAGCACAGCAGGTAACTCTCGCTTCCTGGCTCTAGCATCGGTTTATTTCTGTTAACAAGCTTTGTGTTTTAAAAACAGGAGTAAATTCTTTTTTATTATAAAGTGACAATTTAATTTAGTAAAACTGACACTTCCTGTATCGTGACTATCTTTGTTTCTTCCTCTGGTGGATTTCTTTTCCTTCATGCTTTGTATTTACTTTATGTCCAACAGTTTATCAACTAGATTTGGAACTGTTGCTGTACCAAATATCCTCCTTTTCCAAGGTGCTAAACCTATGGCTAGGTTTAATCATACAGACAGAACGCTGGAAACACTGAAAGACTTCATTTTTAATCAAACAGGTATGTAAATCAGCGTTGATGTGTCAGTAGGAAGAACAGGCTGGCTTTTAGCTCCAAGCTGGACTTTCCTCTCCCTGCTGTTTGTTCTTTAAAATGAATTTCATTAAGACCCCCGAGAAGACCTGGTAGAGGTTTATATAATCAGTTGCTGGATTTTGGAGCATGCTGAAAGCAGAAACTCAACTCACTGGGCTGCTGTCACGGAGTAGGGGGAAACAGTGGGGTTTAACTGGAGAGGGTGCTAGAAGGATTGGGCTAATCTTCCTGCCCAAATACTTCATTTGGGAATAAAGACAGATGAACCCTAGGATTGTTGCCGGTGCCACATAAGGCTGACAGCAGCTAGGGGATAGGACTGTTTCAGTTCTTGTGCTGGAAGAGACAAAATGATTCCAGTTTCCATGATCTGGCTGTCCATGTTGTGAGCTTAGTACCAGCCAGCTCTCTGGTCCTTCCGTGCTTCTGTAAAGAAAACCAAAACAAACAAAAAAACATACATAGGCCTATGAAGGCCTTCATTAGAGACATAAATTGCTACATTTGCTAATACAGCAGAAATACTCAAAATAACACAGAAACTCCTCCACAATTAAAAACCCCTGCGAACTTACACAACGCTGTGCTGTGGAAGGATGGAACAAGCCTCCTATTATGAAAATACATATAAAAATCAATCTGGTTTTATGTAAATAAACTGTATGCTAGATATACTTTAACACACAAGGACAATCTTGCCAAAGTTTTAGATCAAACTGTACAAGCACCTCAGTCAGAACAGGAACAAAGCTCTAAATAGAACCAACTTCTCCGTATTTAGGGATTATTACTGGTGCTGATCAAGGACTTTTTTTTTTTTTAAGGTATAGAAGCTAAAAGCGACGTGTCTGTGACCCAGGAAGACTGGGAGGGCCCCCTGCCTAGTGTTCTGACAAAAGGCATAGACTGGCTGCTTCTCTTTTCTTTGCTCTTCCTGGCTAGCTTTGTCATGTACGCTACTGTTCGAACAGAGAGCATTCGGTGGCTGATCCCAGGACAAGAGCACGAACATCAGGAATAATCTGAGGTGCTGAAATAGGGAGAGAATTTCCCATGTAGCGGTAAAGCTGGAATTGGTACGGACTAGAAGTACATAAAAACAAACTGTTGAATTTGTTGGTTGTAATTTATAATCTTGACTAAAAATCTGCTTTATTTATCAACTAATGAATCTGTAAAACAAATATGAGGTGGTTTAATGTGGTAAGTAAACAAATATGAAAAAACCATGAACTAAAAAATTTATTAAGATGCTCTGATCAGCTTATTTTTCATGGACTGAAATCTGTAAATAGGTGATACAGTTCTATTTTGCTTTTCTGAAGAGGTCCCTGCGCTTTGTAGACGGAGTAAGATGTTGCCAGCGTGTTGGCCTGTACATGTGGCAGTTGCCTCTGCTCTGGTGCAATCTGTGGATCTTTTACAAGATCCTGCAGATGTATAAACTAAATCTTCCGTGTGGACGAGGTGTAAGCGCCACAGAATTGGGATAATTGGGATGTGTTGGCCCACACAGATCGTACTTGTTTTTTGTCTCGTATATTCCCAAAATATAAGTTTTAAAGGAAGATGCTGGTGAATGGTGATGTTGCTAAATTAGTCTGTCAGTAAAATGAACTATGAAGAAAAAGGTGTTTTAAAAAACAGTGTACTTCAGCTGAGTTATTCCATTGTATGCCAGCAATAACAATTGAAAAGCGTGTTACACAACCCTCGGCAGGGTGATGCTTTCCTGCCCTTGGTGCTGGGGTTAGATGCTGGTTTCCTTCCTCACTGTGCTCTGTGAGTTTTGACTCAGTAGCAGTTCTCTAAGATTTGGCATCACTTCCAAAGCTCACTTCATTATTTTTGTGTGTATATACACAACTTATTTACCACATTCCTATAAAATTAAATTGCATTCATCGTCCTTACTGTTTTTTAAATAAATAAAGTTTTTAGTGTAACCTTTTAAACTGCTTTCTTACAGGACTAAAACCATGCAACTTCTGAAGTACGGATCACCTGCTTAAATTAGTGAGGCCGGTCTTGAGGCTTATTTAAATTTCTGGTGGCGTGTTTGCTGGTTGCACAGTCTTCAGCTGAGCCCAACATAAAGAATTAATACGGTTTTTAGTTATAATTAGTATGGAAGACTTTGAATAAGGTAGGGACCGGTATCATTTGATTGCACAGCATTCTGTACATGGTGGAGACTTGCTGTGGCACCTTGATAGGAAGCTTTTGAGTGCAAATTTAAGCTAAGAAGAAACAAAGATTGCTTTAAGATTTATTGTTTGACAAAGAGCTCGTATCCCTGCAACATCATTCTTCAGGTATTTTTCTGGTGGCTGTATCTTTCCCCCTTTGGAAAGTCGAGGTCCTGTATTTTTGTGTGTTAAAAGGGAAATGCACGGATAAAACTTTGGTGTTATTGCAGATAAAATTAGGAAGTATTTTATTAATAAAAAATATGATTTTTGAATGATAAATTGGAACATTCTTGCCTTTACCATCCAGTTAGAGAGGCCCAGGGCTGTTAATTCTCTCCCTACCCCCAACCACGTAGCGATGTCTATAAAACCGGTGCTGCCTCTGCTCCCAGAAGTGCCGCTTTCGGTGCCATCCCAGGCCACCGGAAAGGAAACGGCCTTGCTGGGATTTAAACCGAAGGCACCCGCGGCCTAAGGGGGCCAGGCCTTGGCGCTGAGCCGCTGCCCGGGTTTGCGGAGCGGAGGGGGCTCGGCCCTCCCGTTCTACCGGCCTTCCCGCCCGCTCCCGGGGCGCTGTAGCCGAGGG